CAGGCTTTGCAGGATCCTTCAAGACCCTGCAGGATCCTGCACGACCCTGCACAAAGCCCCGGGTCAATGCACCCCTGTCTCTGCAGGATCCTGCAAGACCCGGCGCTCTGACTGACCCCCGTTTGCATTGACCCCCGTCTCCCGAGCCCCGACAGGACACGGAGATTGGCTGGCCGGCGTTGACCTCAGCAGTGGTCCCCTGCAGGCGCGCAGTGGCAGCCATATGGGCGGCAGCGGGGAACAGCACATACCCCGAGAAGGGTTGAACGCAAGAGGACGGGCTCGAGCATAATGACAACTAGGAGGAGGAGGAGGAGGAGGACGAGGAGGAGAAGGAAGAGAATGAGGAGAAGAAGGAGGAGAAGGAGAAGAAGAAGAAAAACAACGAACAAACGAGGAGGAACAACAAACGAGGTGCAGGACGGGGGAGAAGGCAAGAAAGATGGGGCGGAAAAGGAGGAGGCACAGCTGGGGAAAGCACGGAAGGAGCGGAAGGAAGGCCGAGGGGGGAGAATATGGGGAAGGGAGAAGTGGAGGGATGGATCGAATGAGGAGGAGGAGGAGGAGGAGGAGGAGGAGGAGGAGGAGGAGGAGGAGGAGGAGGGAGGAGGAGGAGGAGGAGGAGGAGGAGGAGGAGGAGGAGGAGGAAGGAGCAGGAGGAGGAGGAGAGGAGGAGAGGAGGAGAGGAGGGGGAGGAGGAGGAGGAGGAGGCGGAGGAGGAGGAGGAGGAGGAGATTGAGGAGATCGAATGGGAGGAGAGGGACAAGGGGAACGAGGAAAAGTTGGAGAAGGACCAGGATGAGGGACATGGGGAGAACGAGGATAACGGTGGCTAAAACGAGGACAAGCGCGCGGGTCCTGCCTTCCTTTTTACGTCGTACCGAAACTGATTGAACCGATCGCTGCGTCTGCCGTGCCCTCCTCCTCCTCCTGTTTCCCCATTGTGGTGACTGGATCGAACTCACCACCTGTGCGGCCTTAAATTACCCAATTATCTTACCATATCCCGCTGCTCTCCTCCTCCTCCTCCTCCTCCTCCTCCTCCACCTCCTCCTCCTCCTCCTCTTCCTCCTCCTCTTCCTCCTTCTCCTCCTCCGTCCTCCCCCATGGTTCCCGCCCCTCCCATGGCGGAGGAGCCCCCGCTCATCGTGCACGCGTTCCCTCTGCTGCCACCCCGCCCAGGGCCCCGCCGAGGGCCCCAGAGGCTGCCCATCCAATGTGGTATGTGCCGCCAGGCGACTGCGACCGCGCCCTTCCTCCTCGCGTCTCCAAGATTCCACAATTAGCTCCCTCCCCTCCTCCGCCTGTAGCACGTGCTCGCGAGGAGAATGAGCCGCGACCCGCCCGCGTCCACCCGTGTCTCCGAGTGGCCAGTGGCGCCGTCCTGTCCGATGCGCTCCACTTAAATGCGAATGCAGTAGGACTTGATTGGACAGGACACCCGAGAGGACAGAAGACGCTGCCGACGGCAACGTGGCCCCGGAACACCACCAAAGAACATGCGGGCTGCATATGTCGGGATAGACAAGACACAAGGGCACCCTCGATTTGGCAAGGTCGACCTACCAATCAAGGTCGACTGTAGTGGGTGGGAGGGCGAGGCAGTGGACCAACTGCTGCTAGTCCGCCTGGGCCCCCTCCGAGGGCCCCAGCGCCTGACCACACCGCGGGGCACGCTCAAGCCGTCGACCTCCACCGCGGCACGCCTCCCACCTCGCGGTCGCCTGCCCTCCCATTCGGGCTCACGGCGCGCACCGGGGCGGTTGTCCGCGGGCTTCGTGCCCGCCCAGAGGACACGAGAACCTCGCCACCGTCCCCGAAACCGGCAGCTACAACTGCGCCACACCTGCGGGCTAAGCTACCACGAGCCCTCGACATCGGTCCCTGCCGATCCCCCCTTCGGCCGCCTCTCCCACCGAGGCAGTCACTGGCGGAGCCCCAGCGACCGCCTCGCGCTGGCGATGTCATCGCAGCTGAGGACCCACTGGCGCGGCCCACCCCGCTCGAGGCCCTGTGCAACACCGCCAATAGCCCGTAGGCGGATTCTGGAAAAAAAGTGAAAAACAACCCACAACAGTTTTTTCACACTGAAAAAGAAGCACACACACACATCAAAAACACTAGAAAAATCATCCCCATACTAATCTTTACATTTTTGAATATTACCCCTGTAGAGGGACACGCCCGACTTAAAGCTGAGACCCCCGCGGTCGACAGAGGGTGAGCCCATCTTGCACTTCACCGCCACTGACGGCGAGCCCGCCGAGGCCCTCCTCAGACGCTGTCGACGACGACGCAGGCGGACCGCGGCCCCATGGAGCACAGGCGTCCTGCCACACGCAACGGGCCTGTTCTTCAGCCAACCGTGGGCTGCGGAGGCTGGGCTAAAAGGCTTATGGATGCCATGATAATGGACACCCTAACAGTCCTATCGTCGAGTTAACACATGTGCTAAAATGTTTGGTAAATGCAAACGTATCCTGAACATATGCTTTTACAGGCTTAAAGAATGTTTGAAACATTGTCTAGACACCCAGAAATGATTTGTCAACATGCTTCCTCTCCATTGATCGTCGTCCACAATAACAGGCTACCCGCCAGGAGGCCCACATCCAGCCGATGGAGGTGCACGTGCGCACCCGAAGGTCCACCTCGCCGCTGGCCCAGGCCTTCGCGTGACGCCGTGCGGGGCTGCTCTGCGCGGCAGGCGACCCCCGCGGCCGCCTGTCAAGATTTAGGTCGGGCACGTCCTCCTGAAGGAGGATTTTGGAGGCGTGTCGGAGGCGCTGTGCCTGCGCCTCCCACGGCGGCACCCGTCGGCCTCGCAGGGCCCCAGCGCTGCCGCGGGCGGGCCGGTCCGCGCCCCCCGCGGGGCCGAGGCCACGGCACTTGCAGTGCTCCACCTCAGCTCCGAGGGTGCGGGAGGCTGGGCGCGCCTGGGGCGCGCCACCACGGGTGACCTGCAGACCACCTGCGACGCCGTTCCGCCGCACCCTCCTCCCTTTCTCCTCATCCTCCTCCTCCTTCTCATCTTCCTCCTCCTCCTCCTCCTCCTCCTCCTCCTCCTCCCCAGCTCCTCCTCCTCCCCCCTCGATCCTCCTCCTCCTCCCCAGCTCCTCCTCCCTGTCGCACACCGAGAACGTGTCAGTGGACCGGGCCAGGCGCGTCGCCCAACACTTCCTCACCATGTATAATCCTCGAGCTGAAAATGTGCAAGAGCTTCTCGGGTGGAGGACGCGCCATTTTCAGAATGCGGCTTCGCCTCAGCGCCGCCCATATTCATTTTAAGAGTTTGCAGGACTTCACGGATATATGGCGGTACATGTTCAACATGGTGTTCTCGCCTGAGCGCCGCGCACGTTCGTCTTCAAAGTTTGCCTGGGTTTTACATATGGTGGGCGGTAGGTATATGTTCAAAAAGTGGTTCTGGTCTCAGCGCAGATCACATTCGTTCTAAGAGTTTACAGCAGTTCCAAGAATTCTTATGGTAGACGTCAGAGACATGTTTCTTCGGGCACGATGTAGGAGTGTCAAGGCGCAACAATTACGTTGGTTCGCGGTTTTGCAGTCCCACAAATGACTTTCTAGAGAAATTCCAGATCGTCAGGACGCAACAGTAACGCGGATTTGCGGCGTTGAAACCCAAGGAATGGTGTTCTGGCACGGTTGAGGATTTTCAGACAGTTGTCTTCTAAATGGCGACTCACTTGAATGAACATGAAGCCTTGTAGACACTTGTGAAGAGGAAGCTTGGGGGAAGGGTTTATTGCAACATCGTTGATGGGTCTTGGGTGTACACTGGTCCTGTTCCTTACCCTTCTCCTCATCCTCCTTCTCTTCCTCCCACGTCCTCCTTCTGCTCCTTCCCGTCTCTGCTCCCCCTCCTCCTCCTCATCCTCTTCTTCCTCTCCCCGCCTCCACCTCCTAGCCGTTGCCCTCCTCGTCCTCCGCTCTTTCCTCCTCCTCCTCCGCTCCCTCCTCCGTGTTTTCCTCATCCTTCTCCTATTTCTCCTCCTCCCTCCCCATTCCCTTTCCTTATACATGTTTTCCCTGTCGCACCCCGAGGCAAGCTTTTGAGGCGGGCCGAGCGTTTCGCATGAGACTTCCTCACCTAATACGACCCAAGCTTCAACATTGGCAACAGTTCACACATTGATGGCGGGTGGTTTTTAAATGTTGCTCTCGACGTGGCGCCGCGCGCATTCACTGTAGTTTTTAAAGCAGTGTGCGAATGCGACTGTTTTTCGACATGTGGCTCTCGTCGTAGCGCCGCGCAGACTCGTTTTAAACACATGCAGGAGCTTCACGGATTGAGGCAGGTTCCTTTCCAACATGTGGTTGTCGCCTTAGCGCCGCGCACGTACACACACACACACACATATATATATACATACATACATATACACATACATAAAGAACTGCAAGAACTTCACGGGTTGAAAACGGGTGGTTTCCAAAATGTGGCTCTCGTCTTAGCGCCGAATACGTTGGTAGTACAAGTTTGCAGGAGCTTCACAGATTGAAGGCGGTTCCTTTTCAAAATGTGGCTCCCGCCTTAGCGCCGCGCGCATTCGCGTGCAACATTTACACAAGGTTCGCGGATTCCAGTGTTCAACGTACCAGAAGAGGTGTGTTCTGGACAGCTTCAGGAAGATGCGGGCGCAACAATTACGTGTGGCGTTCTGGCACGATCCAGGCTCTTCAAAACGCAACAGTTAGGTCGATCCGTGGCGATGGAATCCCGAGAACAATGTGTTGGCATGCTTCAAGATCTTCAAACGATTGTCTTACAACGTGGCAGCTCCCTCAGTGCAGATGAACGGTTGTAGGAGCTTATGAAGAGGGAGCCTGGAGAGAGTGTTTATTCGAACATTGTTTGTGGCCCTTGGGTTTACACTGGTCCTCCTCCTCCTCCTCCTCCTCCAGACCATCTGCTCTTCGCAGAGCCGCTTGGTCCTGTAGCCAGTACCACGGCCTGAGGAGGCGAGTGTGGCGCCAGCCTGACGCATTGTGGCCAACCTCGTGGGCAAACGTCAGCCAGGTTTCGGGCGAGATGTATGTGATGCCGACGTTGGACATTGTATCGTCCCACTCGGGGTCCATTGCGCATACACCATAATACTGCGTCTGTCCCAGGACTGCCAGGCCAACGGTTCCTGCGACTCCCGCCGTGTGGCAGTCGTCGAACACGTGCCACAGGCCCTGCCTGGACGGCTGCGACCACTGCTCCAAGTTGGTCAACTGGGCGGTGATACTGCTGCCGCAGCTGGCCCAGCTCTGCGTCTCTCCGACCATCGACGGGATGTAGACCGCATCGATCATCAATACGATGTTCAGCTGAGGGGTATAGACCATGTTGGCCATTGCGAAGACGCTCTGCATCCACTCCGTAGCGTCCTCGGCGTCACTGAACAGTGCTGCCCCAGAGTCGCCAAGGGAGACACCCATAGATAAGGCGTGGGTGATGTGGTCATCGGTATAGCAGTTGGTCCACCTTTGGATGGCCTCAGGGTCGAATGTTCTTGTCGTTGGGCTCGATGCCATGAGTCCCTCGCTGTATCCAGTTACCCTGGCAGACGTGTGCACCTCTCCGGGGGACGACGACGACGATTCGACGACGACGACGACGACGACGACGGCGACGGCGACGACAACGAAGATAAGGAGGTGGAAGAGGAACAGATGGAGGATTCCTCATCCGGTCCCCCCCCATGCCTTTCCTGCTATTCCACACTCCCCTCTGGAGGAATAGCAGGAATTGGGGGAGCGTGGAGCACGGGAGAGCCGCGCGAGGAGGGGAGGGCACGGGGCGAAGCAGGGAGAAGGTGTGTAACTCTTCCTGTGCGTGAGCGTGTGCGCTTGTGTGTGTGTCTATGTGTGAGCGAGTATGTGTGCATGTGAGTGAGTGTGTGTATGTGTGTTCCTGTGTGAGCGTGTGTGTGTGTGAGTGTGTGTGTGTGTTTCGCCCCATCCGCCAGCGCAGTCACTCTGCCTGGCCGCCAACGCAACAAGTGGGTGTGTGTGTGTGTGCGCGCGTGTGGGTGCGTCTGTCAGTCAGTCCGTCTGTCTGTCTGTCTGTGCGGCGCGGCCTCCTTCAGGCTGAGCTGCCCGCAGACCCTCCTTGCGCCCGCACTGGCCCGACGCGCGGACTCGGAATACGGCGCGACGCCGAACGCGCCTGCCGACAGAAGAAGTGTGTGTTGGTGTGCGCGCGTGCCTGCGTGCGCGTCGCGCGTGCGTGTGCGCGCGCCTCGCGCCTCTCGCCCTCTCCCTTCCCCTTCCCTCCGCCGCGTGCGCGGCGCCGACCTCTTCGAGATGGCGGTGCGCCTGCCAGAGACCGAAAACTATGTATATATATACTATGTGTGTGCGTATATGTGTGTGTGTGTGTGTGTGCGTGTGTGCGCGTGTGTGCGCGTGTGTGAGTGTGTGTGGGTGTGTGTCGGTGTGTGCTCATGGCGCACCTCCGTCCCTCACCTTGCCGCGTCGGGCGAGGCGCCCTAGTTGGCGTGCCACTTCGCTGCCATCCACGCCCGGATGACCTGTGTGGCGCACCTCCTTCTGTTCATGCCGCCGCGTCGGGCTTGGCCCTCGGTTGGCGCGTCACCTCGCTGCCATCCACGCCCGGGTTTGCTGTAGACGGTAGGTGCTGCGGAATCTCAGGCGATTCTAGCGGGCCCGGCCGCGGCCGCGCGTTAATACTTCTACTGACTCCGCCTCGCTGCTGCGCGCGAAATCGCTTCCGCTCCGACCCAAAACAAAGGTGTGCTCGTGCGTGTGTGTGCGCCCCGCCTGGCGATGTCGGCCGACCCGCCGCTGCTCAACACCGTGAGCTCAGCATGGCAGCATGCTGCTGCAGCGCACGCTTCGACGCAGCCCCTCTCCCCCGTCATACGGCCTTCTGGACCGTGCCCCGAATCCTGTTGGCGCCGTTCCTTTGCTCGGCATCGTGGTGAACCTGTGGGTGTTCCAGCTCCTGCTGCTGTGGGTCCTCTGCCTGTCGTTTTTCTTGACGTAGTGGTTCGCAGTGTCCATCACGCTTTCAGCGCCTCCACAGCTTCGGCCCCTGGGTGTGGTCGTGACGCCGCCCCACGCCCACTGCTGTGTGTCCCTCTGCTCAGGCTGGCCGCACTGGCACACTAATCCTGAAGCTCTTTCCGTTGTCAACGCCCTCCTCCTGCGCCTGTCCCAAGCGGCATCCCCTCCTCGCCTCTTCTTCTCTTGCCCGCGGTCAATTAGTACGCCGTGCGCCGCTGGCTTCTGGAGCGCGCGTGCGGATCGTCTCTGCCGCGCTGCGGCGAAGAGGTAAGTGTGTGTGTGTGTGCGGGTGTGTGTGTGCGTGTGTGTGTGGTGTGTGTATGCGTGTGCGTGTGCGTCTGCGTGCGTGCGTGCGTGTGTGTGTGTGTGTGTGTGTGTATGTGTTTGCGTACGCGCGGCGCGTGCGCATGTGTATATGTTTCGCGCATGCCTGCCCGCCGCATGTCCTGGCTCAACTTGTCAATGGCTGCCCGTGGCCTAGGACCCCACGGCTTGGATTTGACTGTCCTCGGCACAAAGTTGCTTCACATGTTTGATGGTACCCCCGTCAGCATGCTACACGGTCGTGATCTCCCTTCACCACATGGGGAAGAACAAACATGTGTGTGCATGTGTGTGTTGGGCGTACGTTTGTGCATGCGTTCGTGCGTGCATGCGTCGCGTGAGCGTGTGCGCCGCGTTAACTTGTGCGTCGCGTGTGGGTTTGTGTCTGTGTGTGCTTGGACTTTCCGCCTCGTCGCTGCGTGCGAGGCGCGAGAGGCCGCAAGAAGTGTGCAACACCCGCTCACATCCGGTCAAGAAGAAGAGTGGCCGGCGACGCGGGCAACGGGCCAGGAGGGCCGAGGAACGCGCGGAGCCAGGGCGACAGCTGGAGCCGAGAGAGGGAGAAAGAGCGGAGGAAAGGCGGGCACGACCGACACGACGGACAGGGGGCCGACAGACGGGCGCAGATGGGAGAACACGAAAAGGCAGGAGAAGGCACCAAAGAGGAGACCACACACAAGGGCAGGGCAAGACACCAGCAAGATCTGCAGGGGCATGCGGGGAGATGTGGGGAGGAGGAGGCCTCCTCAGAAGGCGGCGGGGCTTCGCAGAAACCCTGCGGCCTTCTGAGAAGTTATCCGTGTCTTTGGGGAAGGTTGAAAACACTTCTCGGAGAGCCCGTGGACTTTCGAGCCTTCTGAGAAGGCCCGCCGCTTCTCACTTTCCCCCTGGGCTCGCCGCCGAGCACATGTGGTGGCAGACAGTTTGGGCGTAAGAGCAGGTGCCTTAGTGGAAACGGGCCCTGAACACTCCGGTGTCCTCCTGGGGTCCGCTTCGTGTCACGAGACGATCTGGCTGGCCTCGCGGCCCACAGGAGGGGCCCCGAGCTTGGGCCTCCCTGCCCGCCTCCTCGTCGCGGCGAGCAGGTGGACCCAGACCCCTCCGGGTCATGGAAGCATCTCGGCGGGAAAAATCTCGCTATTGTTTCGGCCTCTGGGGGCCCTGGCCGGGCCTCGGGGCCATTTACAAAACGACAAGACCCAGACCCTCCCGGGTCACGGAAGCATCTCGGCGGGAACAATCCCGCTATTTGTTCCGCCTCTGGGGGCCCTGGCCGGGCCTCGGGGCCATATACAAAACGACCAGACCCAGACCCTTCGGGCAAGCCATGGAAAAATCTCGGCGGGAGGTGTCTCGCTATTTTTCTGGCCTCTGGGGGTCCTGGCCGGGCCTCGGGGCCGTAAACGCAACGACTCGGGACGAAAAGGCGGCCCTGGGGAAGGGGTCGAGACCTCTGGAGGTCACGTTATGATAAGATCATGGCATCGGGGGTCTCGGTTTGGCGGCGCGCATCAGGGAGGCAGCGCGACGGCGGGGTGGGGCCTTCAGCCGAGCAGTATCAGACTTAGCCGCCCCGGTACAAGACACGCAACCCGTAGCGTATCGACACGGAGCTCAACACGCAGATCGAAAACTCCCGCCCAGCGCGGCACGTTCGCCAAAACGTGGGCCAACACGCGAGGCCAACACGCAACGCGTTTCCACGGACGCCTTCCACACGGTACGTGCTGCGCTTCAAACAGGGTGCATCGGGGCAGCTAAAACGATCACAGAGATGCCGTCGGCCGCCCTCTGCGGGCCTCCGCGTGCTCACAAGGATGCCCCACGTGCGCGCGCGTGCCGCCGAGGTGCCCCCCCCCCCTCTGCGGCAGGGCACCTGGGTGCTCGTCGAGAGCATCCCGGTGGCGGGGTCCGCCTCGACCTCCACGAGGCTGCCGTTCAGCCTCACGAGGCCTCTGGGGGGCCCCCCTCGCCACATTTGTTGTAAAGCCGGCGGCGCAGAGGGTACTCAGGCGCGAGTAGCAGATGGAGGAGCAAATTGCAAACGAAAGTTGTCGAAGGCACATTGCACAAAATGCGAGGAGCTGTAAATCCACCCCCCTTGTCACACCCAGATTCGGTCAGGGTTTTCTGCTGGCGTGTCGCGGCGGCCGCCGCGGCGACACGCCGTGCCCTGCAAGCGGGCAGCTGGGAAAAATGTGGGTAAGCTGAGGCTCCTGGGTCCGGGAGGTGGTCCGGGTGTGGCCCCGCAGCGCGGTGGGGTCGGAACTGTCGGCGGAGCACGCTAAGCAGCAACATCCCAAACGCATGCAATCCGACCTCCTCTTCGCCAACTCCTCCTCATGCACTACTCCTCCTCCTCCTGCTCCTCCTCCTCCTTCTCCCCCTCCTTCTCCTCCTCCTCCTCCTCCTCCTCTTCCTCCCCCTGCTCCTCACATCATCAGCTTTCTCATTCGCTCCTTCTCCTGTGTCTCATCACCCTCCTCCCCTACTCCTCCTGCCGCTCCTCCGCAATTGCACGAGAGAAAAACTAGTCGCCTCTCTCCCCATAGTACCCTCCTGGTGTCCCACACTTCCTGTATACACCAGGTTTGTGGAATGTGTTTGTCTATATGTTAGTTCAAACGGACAGTCCGCGGCCGTTCGAGATGAGCGCGCTGGCCACACTCAAGGTGTCCATTGAGCTGCCGTCCCACAGAACGTCGCTCTCGCAGCAGCGCTGGCCGCACTACTGTATCAGCGTGTGGCTTGTGTCTCCCTGGGGTGGTTACTGCGAGTCGCGTGCTGTTGTGTGTATCGGCCAATGTTTGATGCTCGATTACGCCGGTTACGTCAGACAGCCTTGACCCAGCGGTCTTCTCCTGAGTCACCCCTCTCATGTTCTCAATCATTTGCCTTCACCTTACTCCCCGTGCTTCCCCTCCTTCCTCGTGGCCGTCCTCCATCTAACCGCATCCCCCCTCCGTCTTTGCTCCTTTTCACTTCTCCTTCACGCCCTTCCCAACTCCCCCACGCCTCCGCGATACCCCTCCCGGCTCCAAACATCCGAGATCCGCTTCAACAAAATTACCCTTTCGGGATCAATGTGCTCTTCGACACTTGACTCTGCGAGTAGACGGGGCCTCCCCGCCTCACCGCAATGATGATGGATGGGAAGGCGGACTTGGATGTTAGATTTCGCGCGAGCGCACGCATCTTGTCCTCCTCGTCATCTCCCTCCCCCTCTTTCCTCCTCCCCCTCCTCCCTTTCCTCACTCTCCTCCCTTCTGTTGCCTGATCCCATCAACTCCCCCTTCCTCCTCTCTTCCCCCGCCTCCTCCTCCTACTCCTCCTCCTCCTCTTCATCCTCCTCCTCCCATTCTTCTTCTCTCTGCACTGTCTTCCCTCGGACATTATTTGGTACAACGCTCACAGAGCGAACGGGCACTCCCATGGTCCTGCGCCTCCATCTCCTCGCCCCTTCTTCTTCCCCTTTATCTCTCCCATTCCCCTCATTCATCCGAAAATCCACTTCTTCCCCTCTCTCCCTCCTTGCCTTCCTCCTCCACGTCCCTTCCTTCCCCTTCCCCCATCCTGCGAGGCTCGGCAGAACCCGGCCGCAGGCGCCGATTTTCAAAACAATGATACAACGAGCCCGCAGCAAGCGCCACATGTTTGGTCAAAGCATGTGGGTGGGTTGCAGGTGTGTCGCGGGTGGGTCGCGGGTGGGTCGCAGGTGGATCGCGGGTGGGTCGTGGGTGGGTCGCGGGTGGGTCGCAGAGTGGGTCGCGGGTGGGTTGCGGGTGGGTCGCGGGGTGGGTCGTGAGGTGGGTCGCGGGTGGGTCGCGAAGGAGCGCAAATGGGTCGCGGGTGGGTCGCGGGCCGGAACGCGGGAGGGACGACGCCAACAAAGCACACACAACAAACAACAACGCACAAACAACAACAATGACAACAACACCACCACCAACAACGACAACGACAACTACAGCAACCACAACAGCACCAACAACAACACCACCAACAATAACAATACTATCACCACCACCAACAACAATAACAACAATACCACCAACAACACCAACAACAACAATCCGCACCGCGGAATCCCACTTTCGCCACGCACCAAGGGACAGTGAATGAACGTTTGGACACCTCACTCTGACAAGTACATAACTCCCCCCCTCGCACCACCAGACGTGTCTTCAAGGCGGGCTGGGTGTTTAGCCCGCGCCTCCCCACCGCTTGCGTGAGGTAGTGAAGCCTGTAATTCCCAATGGCCGCACTGATACTAAACGGATGGAGGGCGGACTCACTTCAAAATGGGCTCTCGCAGTGGTGTCGCGCACGAGCGTCTCAAACCCGCAGCTGGCAAAAGGATGGAGGTGCACCATGAGCTCACCATGAGCCTCTGGCCTTGGCGTCGCGCGCACCCGCCTTGGCGTTCCACAACAATTGCGTTGATGGAAACGACGCTCGCCATGGCTCTCTCGCCTTGGCGCCGCGCACGCTTGGTTTGAACAAAGCAGGGGGCTACACGGCTGGAGAGCGGCTGGTGTTCGAAATGGGGCTCGCGCCACACGTGAAACTCCAAACAGGTACACGGATGGAGCTTTTCAAAATGTAGCCCTCGCATTGTCAGGGTGAGGGGGCCGAACGGTCATGCATCCTCCATGGGCGTGTGGCTGAAGAGGAATTTCGCGGTGTGGATTGTTGATGCGCTGTTGCGTTGTTCATATTGCTGTTGCTGTTGCTGTTGCGTTGCTGCTGTCTACGTCCTCGCCCGTGACCCGCCCTCGACCCACACAGCGACTCATCCTGTAACCCACCCCGCGACCCACCCACATTGTTTGACGAATAAGTCGACGCCTGCGGCGGGCCCGTTGTCTGCGTTGTTAAAACCGGCGGCGACGGCGGGTTTCTTCAGAGGCCTCGCAGACTGCCGACGCGGCGATCGAAACGAATCGGATCGGCAGAAATCGACAGTCGATTCGGGAAAAATCGAACTCGCGGGAATCGGCGGGCTAGTATGCCTCCAAAAAACAGACATCGGAAACCAAATCGCATCGAATCGAAATCGGAAACCTTCGGAATCTAATCGAAACGAGTTGGATGAGTCGAAATGAGCCCCGACCCCGCCGTCCCCCACTCGTATTCGCAACTGCGGGGTGCTAGGTACCCTTCTTGTTTGCACCACGGGCATAAAGCTGTGCAGCCGCGGTACGGTTCGAGGTGGCTCCTCTCAACGTGGGGCTCTCTCCCGAGGCTGCGGTTGGTCTGGCAACCGGCCAACAACCCTTTCGCAACCGCTGCACGGACTGATTGTGCGGCCCGTTGTTCAGAGCGGGGCTGCCGCCGGGCACGCCCTTCGGCCTCTTCAGACCCTGCCCTGTCGAAAGGCTCCCTTAGCAGCGGCAGTGCTCACTACAGCCAACCCGTTTGATAAGGATGCGCGCGGAAAGGATGCAAGTGCCTTGGAGGCCCAGGTTAACGTTTCTCGAACGAGGTTGGCCTGCGAAAATCGCTGAGGATGGGCCGAACGGGGAACGATGCAAGACTACCCTTGAGAAGGTCGCCCATCCGAACTATGCGGGGTGAGTGTACGCTCTGGGAGAACGGCCCGCATGTTCAACTCGGGCGTGGCAGCTGCTGCGTTGTCGGCGCCAGGCGCTCGCGCAGAGAAGCAGAGCGGCCCGCTGCGTGTGTTTGCTGAGCCCCGCGCGGGCACGGAAGGTGCGACGCAAGTGTGAAACGTGTTCATCGGGGCCCAATCTGCTCATCCATCTGTTGAACAAAGACCGATCGTCCCGGCATTCCTATAGGCCTACGACGGAATGTTCTCAGAACACACAGATGTTCTCATAACAAAGACAATATTCTTAGAACATAAGCCAAGCGTCGTAAAAAGAAGAAGAAAGAAACAACGACAGCACCAGCCAGAAATGATGTACTGATATTTCGCGCAAGCCTAAAAAGGTTTGCAGAACACTCTTTGAATGGCCTGTAGTCAAGCCAGGACGCTTCGTCACTGCGTGAATCTAACGAAGGTGCGAACTTCATTGGAGGAACGCGCTTGTCTAAGTTGTGAGGGCCATACAACCTGCAGTGCTCAGATCGATGTGCGGAGGCTGTGTGCGAAGACGTCACGCTGGAGCAGCGAATCTGCTTATCCGCCGATCCGGCGTGTGAGTATAAGGGGAAGGGGGTGACCAGGGTGGCTTTGCCGGGGTGGGGGGAAAGGGGGGGGGTCCGGTGGCGTGGGCTCCGGTGGCGTAGGGGGGAAGAGGGGGGTCTGGTCCCCCGTCCCGCCTGTGGATAAGTGGAATTGGTGGAACGGGGGGGACGGGGGTCCGGCGGCCGGGGTGGCTCTGCCATGGCGTGGGTTCCGGCGGCGCTTGGAGGGGGGGGGCGGTCCAGTCACCCGCCTCGCCTGTGGACAGAGGGGAAGTGGGGGAAGAGGGGGAGGTCCGGTGGCGTGGGTTCCGATGGCGCGGCGAGAGGAAGGGGGGGTCCGTCGCGTGTGAGTTTTAAGGAGCCTCAGCTACAGCCTCGAGGCTGACCTTCAGCATCTGGGGGGGTTGCCGGGGTGGCTCTGCCGGAAAAGGAGGGGGAGGGGGGGGTGCGCGCGTGCGCGGGGTAATGTTTGCCCGCGTACGCGAGAAGGGAATAGGGGAAAGATGGAAAGAGAAATGGAACGGGACAAGAGCGGAAAACGGGGAACGTATGGGGGAGAAGACGAAGGTGGCGGTGGAATGCGTGTCTGTTGTGTGGTGTGTGTGTGTGCGTATGTGTGCGTGTGTCTGTGTGTGTGTGTTTGTGCGGTCTGCGTGGTGTGTATGTGTGTGTGTGTGTGTGTTGCCGGCGTGTGCGTGTGTGCATGTGCCTGCGAAGGTGGCGCGCGTGTGTGAATGTGGTGTGTGTATGTGGGTGTGTGTAGTGTGTGTGTGTGTGTGTGTGCGTATGTTTGTGTGTGT